TGTGTTTTCTGTATTTTTTTCAACTTTAAAACATGGATCGAATAAATGTACATGACTTCTTTTGGTTATGTAGTGTAGTAAGAGATATATTTGTTAATTTTTTAAATTCAAGAGCAGTAAATTAAAAGTTCACATTTTTATACACATAAGCAAAATTTTATTTAATATGGTCACCAGAAAGAATTTGTTTTAAAGATTATCTTTGAAAGATATTGCAATGTAGCATATGTACACTCTTTTATAGTTCGAGACCGTGTTCGGACAAAAATGGAACGTGACATCTTGGTAGAAGTTAATCATCCTTTTATTGTCAAGTTGCATTATGGTGAGTTGTGAACCACCTCCCACCTCATCCCATCACCTCATCCCCCACTCCCTGAGTGTATTCAGCTATACTAATGTGTATAAATACATATTTGTATGTGTTTAGCAAGTCATAGAAATTAAACCATTATTTCTTAGACAAACTTTAGAAACTTTTAATGCATTTAGCTTGTTTTTTTAAACATTATAAAGTTAGTTTCTCAGTGGTAACCATAGGAACAGGTAATGATAATCATTGCTTTGTATTATAATAGTAATTAATAATAATGTACCAGCATTTTATAGTCTATCTGTATTAGCCCAACCTAAAGGTAAGAAAGATCAAAGTCCTAAAACTGTTATCACCATTCTTTCTCCCAAAGCTATGTGCTTTTCCTCAGTGGGTAAAAAGTGTGGTAATTCTTATCATGTGTAATTAAATCTCATCAACCCACATTTTTTCTGTAGTTAGTGACATGGTTTTTGTACTTTATTTTATGGTTAAGTAAGTCTTTTTTCCATTGTGAATTTTTCTTATGGATCACGTGTTTAGAACTATATTGTATTCCTGAGACACTTTTGCCTGTAGAAAATCTAGTGGTTTCATAATAAGAAATGCATTTAACATTTCTACATGGAAACTAAGAGAAATCAGTGGTTTTCTTCTGAGTTAAAATAAGTTTAGATCTGTGATAGAATTATTAATTTGCTAAAAATATTCATTTGTGAATGACCTAATGTAAGTCTAAAAAAATAAATTACAGTGGATTAAATGGAAATTTTCATTTCTTCATTCAGCTTTTCAAACCGAAGGGAAGTTGTATCTTATTTTGGATTTTCTCAGGGGAGGAGATTTGTTTACACGCTTATCCAAAGAGGTATATAATTAATCTCTATTTTAATCTATTTATATGCATCCTGTTTCAACTAAAGCTTTGTTATAGTTCAGTATTATGCTTATTGTATTTTCTCTAGTGGCACAAGACTCTTACAGTGAAGAATCTGAGTGAAAAAGAGTTCTTTTGCAATGTTTTGAATTTATTCTGAAAGCAGGACATTAAATTGACAAGTAAACTATATTTGTCTTAAACCCTGCTTCTTTTATAGTTTTTTCAGCAGCAGTAATATGTTGACAAGATATCTTTAAACAATTAGTATTGGAAATTCAGCATGCATTTTAAGGATCATTTTTCATTTCTAAAATGTTACTGTGGTGAGACAACAGTGGCACAACCTAAATATAGTTGTTTCTTAATAAAATGTAAGATAATTTCTCCCACAGTACATAGTTAGTATTTAGTAAGTGACTGGTTGACTGATTAGATAATTTCGCAAATTCCTTTCGTGAGCAAACTGTGGATAAAGCTATGTATAGTTAGCATATTTATACATTTTTTGAATATTTAAACTCTAGAGTGGGACTTTAAAAAACACAGACAGAATAAAGAGAGAAAATTATTGTTTTATTTTAGGTGATGTTCACAGAAGAAGATGTCAAATTCTACTTGGCTGAACTTGCACTTGCTTTAGACCACCTACATAGCCTGGGAATAATCTATAGAGACTTAAAACCAGAAAAGTAAGGAATCATGCTACTAAGCTGAATACAATGCAATGTAATTATTTAGCAGGTTATAAAAGATCAGGTGATTTCATAAAACTCCCACAGCATTGCATCAGAGGGCCTGTGCTGCACATCTCTGCTAACACTATGTATTTTCATACTTTTTAAATCTAAATTAACCAAAAAATATTATATTCTTTTTATGTGCATCCTTTGATTTTTAATAAGATTGAAATCTAT